GCCTTTCTTTTCTAAGAATTTGGCAAATGGGCCAGGATTTTGGCCTGACTCATCATATTTACCATAATATTCACCACCCCTGTCTGATCTCACTATTTTAACCTTTCTATCTAATTGTCTCTCGACTTCAGTTATGTACACCTCAAGGATGTCAACAGCCTGAGACTTTTCATGAATTAGATACACATATCCATAACGTGAGAAGTCATCTATAAATGTGATAAAATATTTTTCACCACTAAGACATGGGATGTTGAGTGGCCCGCAAATATCTGTATGAATTATCTCAAGAAGCTCATTACTTCTTGTGGCACCTTTCTTTTCTTGCTATGTTGTTTCTTTCCTGAAGATGCTAATATTTCAATTGAAGTGTTGGCGAGACACTGCATATTGTCACGCACACTTCACTTGTATTGTCATGCAGCCATTCCTCTTGCATTGTCATGCACTGATTTGCAGGGAGTCCATGATGTGTATACTTAGTTACGATTTAGAAATCAGGAATGAAATCTTCTTTTACACAACCTTTGACTTTTAACAACACAAAAAGAGTTTCTTTGATGCATAATGAATATGAAAGAGATTAGATGTACCATTCAGATACTGCCTAATAAATATGGCATGCAGCTTACAAGGTTGAACATACAGCGTATATTCAAGATAACCAACACATGCCGAGAGTTCAAACCTTATGAACAAAAAATATGTTGTTATGAATAATTATAATTATAATATAATAACAATATTTATAAATATATTATTATTCCAAGGTGTATTGATTCACAAACTAAAGCTCTGATACCACATGTAAGATTTAATAATACATGTAACCATAATAATAATGCGTCTTGAATTCAATACAATTCAAGAATAAAACGAATATACCTTTGTCAGCCATTGAATTAGAGAAGTTGAGAAAATACCCCTTAGAATTGAACCTTTAATTTTTTGGCTCACCTTCTTCTCTCTGTCTCTCTTAATTAGGATGACTATAAAATTTAAAGTGATGGAAAAATACTCATGATATGAAAGGGGAGTCACCCATCCTTATATAGAGGAGAGAAGAGGGCCAGATAAACTCTATCAGAAGAATTCCTAATCCATCAAGGTTTCCTTCTTATCTTAGAAGGGTGATTATATTAAAATTCTATTTACTGAACTTGATCTCAAATATTGGCTTTATCTATTTGTGGAGTCCAAATAAATTAAAATATGTAGAAAATATGTAGGCTATTGGGCCACACTAGAAAAATAAATCCAACAATTACTCCATGCACTTTCTTTTCGAAACATAAGAGTAGAGGTACTTTGATTGTTCACTCGATCACCCCGATTGTTCATTCAATCATCTTACTTTGATTGTTCACTTAATCCTCCCAATTATTCACTCAAGCATCTTTCTCTATCTCCCTCATTTTAAATTTTCTTTCTCCATTTTCTTCATTCTTTTTAAAAATTTTCTTTTCTCTACACTTGGCAATTTTAAAGTCCTCTTCATTGAGGCAAAAGAACCGTCAACACAATCGCTTGATAATTAGTTTGAATTTAATATGTAAGAATTTTTCAATCCCCGCTGGCACGCTCGTATTTATGATATTTTCCTTTGTAGAAAAAATAAGTCAAAAGTTTTTTGGCACGCCCAGTGGGACATCAAGTTTATGAAATGAAAAGTTAATTGAATTCGTCCATTCCAAATAGCCTAGATGAAATAATTTGGCGTAAATAAAAATTTTTGGATTTTCAAGAAAAGATCCATGTTCTTGATTAAATAAATTTTCATTCGGTACAATATTATTTGGTGGAAGAAAAAAGGCACCATTTAATTGGAGAAATTCATTAATTTGATATAGAAATTCGCCAATAGAATGATGAGTTTTCAACTCTCATTACTAAGTCTTTAACTAAGGCTTTAAAGGTTGAAATTGGTGAATTTTTAAAAAAAATTTCCATGGTTGAAAATGGCAAAAACAAAGAGTTGATTTCATCAATGACATGGGTGATCGGAAAACCTATTTTTAAATAGCCAACTTATGAAAATAACATGGCTAAAAAACATGTTGTTGAGCCAAGCATGGTTAAAAATGATGTTCCATATGGAAACAACATGCTTATGGAGGATTTTCATAAGCCATTAACGGTTAAAAGAGAAAAACAGTTCATTAGGCCAAGAATTGATGAAATTCAAGTGGCCGAAGAATATATTCTTAAGCGAAACATGGCCAAGAATAATGAACAATCCAATGTTCATGAGTCCGAATTTTTTGAGATTGTTCAAGAAGTTAGGGTATGTGAATTTTTAAAGCCCTTTTCTGTGATGACTTTCGTTGTTCAAAATCTACTTTGGATTTGTGGATCACACCAAAATATAATTTTGATGATGTGGTTAATAAAATTAACAAATTGTTCTTATGAGTTCGAGACACTAAGAATAGGAGATAACCACTTAAAATGCATTAAACTTGGCTTGGAAAGGCCTCTGCATTTAAATCAGTGGTTAAGAATGGCTTATCTTTTCAAATTGATGGCCAATTGTATTTTTTATTTTTATTTTTTTGAAGGGCACAAATATGTATCCAACAATTGTTCCTGCATTTAACTGACAAAATTGTGAACATTTTGTGACTTATATGTATACAATCAAAGCATCAAAAGTACATTCGAAGCGTCAAGAGTTGTTTCGAAAGTTGATTACTTCGCCTTTGAAACTTTACAAAGCTTCAAATCATATCATGAAATAACATTACCTTCGAATATATATATATATAAATATATATGCATATAGGCAATTGGTTGTTTAAAATTGCCTGAAATTTCGAAGCATATCATTATGTTAATAAAAATGGCCAAATATGTGGTTTGAACCACTTTGGTATTTAAGCAAGTTTGTTGCTCATACCAAGCAAAAAATGTTTTTTGTATGTTTCTTATTTCATAGTTGAATATGAGAACCAATTTTTGGGTTTGATCTTTAAGTATTCAACCAATTACTGGTTTGATAAAAAAATATATTCGAAGACTAGCCACATGCCATATGTATTGACACACTTCATTACCACACCATTATATATTTCGAAGTAATTTACTAATCAATGTCAATATTAGCGGTTTTTTGTATTGAAGCCACATCTTTTAGTGATTTTAGTCTTCTTTTATGGTCTTAAACAACTTTGAAGCTTCATATGCTTATGAAGTATGCCGCAGGTGCCTTTGAAGCATGATTTTGGCTTGCTATTGACTTCTTCGAAGCATGATTTTCATATGTTATTAACACCTCTGAGCATGATATTGGTCTATTACTAATAGTGGCCACCCAAAAATTTATTTTCACTTGTGGTTTACACTCTTTAAGGTCACATATCTATATCCCTAGACATGTGTTTATGTCAAATAGATTTGGCAAGTGTTCTAACTTAGCCTATAATGGATTTGTGAGTGTATGATGTTATTTGGAGTTACATGCAAACAAAAAGTTCCATAACGTATGATATGTTGCATCTAGGGGTGAGCAACGGATATACCGATCTGTCAAAACCGACCGAACCGAACCGATCAGCCGCATTTTGGACGGATGCGTGATGATGAGCGGACGGTTGCGGATTGATTTTCTCCAATCCGCCAATCTGGCGGATGGATGACGGATTTGAGATTTCTTTGGCCGCAACCAAACTGCCAAACTGCGAGCACCCCTAGTAATACTTTATGTGGATGAGACATGCTGTGATTGTAATATGTGGATGAAGTATGCAGTGATTGTGATATTCTAAAGTTTCAAACTTTCTTGCTTTGGATGAGACATGCAGTGATTGTAATATTTTTTTAAGTCATTAACTGTAATACTTTCTTCTTCTTCTTTTTTTGAGGAAGTGCACAAGTTGAATTATGTTGAAAATTTATAAAATTTTAAACCGCCAAACCGATTCGTATTCATCCGCCAAACCGCAAATCCGCTCAATCCACATCCGCCAGATTGGCGAACGGATGCGGATTGATTTTCTCCAATCCACCAATTTGACAGACGGATGGCGGATTAGAGGTTCCGTGGCCGTAACCGACCCGCGCTCACCCCTAGTTGCATCTATGAAAAACACATGTTAGCTTTGAAAACCCACATTCGAAGCTGTATAAGTCTCCCTAAAAGCTTTTGTTAAAGCATGTGGTGACATTTTCAAAACAAAGTTTGTTCCTCTATCATCGCTCTCGACCTTCGAAAGGAGGATTTGGTCTCTTGAAACTTTGTTGCAAGTATTTTCGCAAGATAACCTTCGTCCTATAGTTTTCAACCTTCAAGGGGTGATTTTGATCCTCCAAAGCTTTGCCGCAAGACCTTCGAAGGATGAATTTGGTGATTTATAAACACTTTGACCATAAAAAGGGTGATTTTGGTCCTCTGTACCACCTTCGAAGCTTGTTACTAGTCCATAATATTAATAGCTAACATGTGTAACAACTTATTAAGGTGAATCATATTTGGATATTGGCTTTGCCTTGAAAATATAAGGTTTTGAATGATTCTAAGTGCAAGCAATATCAACCTAATTCAAAAGATTCCAAATTTTCTAAGTATTTAAAGTACAAGTAAAACCAAAATTGTTTTATTTCTTTTGAAAGATTGATGCTGATTCAAAATACCACTACAACAAATTTAGGTTTTTACTGCACCAAATACACGCCGTGGATATGATTCTACGACGCGTAAGGTAAAGCCGTGTCATGACCAGTCATGGAAAGTCAATCACTTCGATGGCATGTCGTAGTACGTCGTTAAATATCCTTTAACAGCAAATCTTGTGCACCGTGGTTGATTTTTCTACAACTACTTTTGCACGCTGTTAATTCCTATCACAAATCACAACTCTTATTGCTCGTCGTAGAATATGCAATACAACGACCTATTATGCTTGTCGTAGAATATACATTTTTATTTAATTCTGCAAGTTCTATTTGACTTGTTCTGTACAATTTAACAAACATTAAAAACAAGCTTCACAAAATATCAATCAACCACCAAAATATTGTTTCAAACATCAAAAAGAAACTATATTCATAAATTATGAACATTCAACAATTGTCTATACATTTCAAATATTCAAAAACTATATCCTTAAGTTCTAAACCATCCAAAAAGTTTAAACCATTCAAAAACTGTGCATATCTGAGTTTCTACACATTTCCAAAATTATTTAGAAATTATCCAAAACTATCGGTAACAGTTCTTGCAACAGTTGCAGCTGCAGCAAACCCGCTTGCTCCTATCACATGGACAAAAGGGTGCCCCCAATATATGTGCTAAGGCACCTAAACCCGCAAGAATAGTTGGATCAGCTAACTATGTTGCCAATAAAATATGAATTCATCAGGAAAAAACAATCATGTCATTAGAAGCTTGTTGGCCAATGGCATTTAAAATGTTCAAAAGCCTAAGCTGAAGATGTCATACCACCAATAATTGCCATTAAGGTTTCTCAGGTTAATGCAGCTGCACCTATTATACCTCCACGGTTCCACTTGTCCCAAGAGTTGTCTAGTGATTGGTAATTTCCTCTTTTTTATTGTTCCCTTTTTGCTAAAGCCATTGCAAAGCAAGCAACCATAATCTCCATGGCTTCCTATAGACAAAAATTTTCTCTTTAGTGAGGGTAAAAATCTAAAGTTGAAAAAAAGAAAATTTCTTGAGTAAGAGAGCAAAAACAAAGGGAATCAACACAAATGCCCTAACATGAAGATATTAGAAGAGAGTTGATATCAAAAAAATGATGAATACCAGCATGTTGAATTGTAGTTTTGTAAACTTAAGCCAAGTTTTAATCATTAGATTAAATCCTTTCTACGGTTCAAAGGCATTTCTACGACCAAAACAAGATGAGCTTAATTTAGGTTACGTTTCTCAAGAGAACCTAAGCGTTTAATTTGTGGATGCAAATTTACTATGCTCATGGCTAGACTCTCTTATGTTGTGTTTGGTTGGGGGATTTGGGGAGAGATTTGAAAAGAAAAAGTGAAAAGGTGTGTGACACTAGGTGAAATGTAGGAATATTATATTTACATTTCACCTACCTTTTTCATTTCTATTTCCAAATCTATCTTCAAATCCCCTAACCAAACACAGCATTAGTGGTGAGAGTTAATCCATGTTGCCACATACGATGCCACTTGGACTATAAGGGAAAATTCTGGTTACATGAATGAAACTCTGGTTTCCATTCCATTTCATTTCACTCATCAAGCTTTCTCATCGTCGAGCTACTGATAAAAGGCTCAAAAGAAACAATCCATTACAACAATATTGAAGCTAACAAATCAGAATTAAGGGAGTTGTAGAGGGACATTTCAAATAGAAAACATCAATGCTTTAATCAACATCTATCACTCAACTATAACTTCCTAACTGCTCAACTATAAATTACTAACTGCAATTCTATTGTTTGGAATCATCTGCCGTGATGGGCTGAAGTCTATTTACTACTAGTGAACATGCACCAGTTTAGGAACCAATTGTAACTACACTATTTCATTCTCAATACAAAATGCTGTACATTCTAGAACCAATTTAATGGAACCAATAAGAAACCAAACACTTACATGCTTCTTTTTTTGCATCATTTAACATCATTTTCTGAAATTATCATTAGTGACTTTATGGTAATTTTAATACATTTCATCCATATTCAAGTATCTCTTCATACGTACAATACAGTGACTGACAATTTGCTACTTTGACAATCTTTGGGATGGTAAGATTCTAAATATACTGTATGCAAACTTAAAGGGGTTTTATAGGTATTGGAAGAATGGAACAACTAAGCCTATGCAAATTCTATCCATAACTACAGAGTAAAATGATTCATGAATAGGATCAAAACATACTCCTGAGCGGGACTCAAATCAATTGTGCTCTCTGCTGCCCTACAAATGCCCAAAGAGAACTAGTCCTACTCAAATCACTAACAAAACCTGCATACAGAAGGAAATTCATTAAAAATTAAACAAGCTGACATCATTTAAAAATAAATAAATAATTCAACTTCCAAGCCTATAGCTGATACTTCTTTTTTTCTTTTTTTTGATCAGTAAAATAGAATCTTTATTGATGGAGAAAATATAGATTACATATGAGATTACATCAATAAAGAGGAAAGAAGAAAGAAAGAAATAAAGGAACAAATCACAATGTTGGTGAGGAGCCAACACGAATTGAACAAAACAGAGGAACAGTAGTAGCAGCAACAGCAAAGAAAGTAGAACTTCACAATATATTAGCAGCAGCAGCAGCAGCCAGCAACATACATTAGCAGCAACAACATACATTACATCAATACAGTAGCTTCCACACTTCTTCTATATCTGACAACAACAGCCACACCCAACAAACAGACCACACCTATTATTCAAACCAACAGTAGAGGAGCAAAGTAGAACTACACTTGATGCAGAACTTCAACAAAGCAGAGGAACAAAATAGCCACACAACCACATAGGCCTTCAACAACCTAATCTATATAACATCACACAGGCCTTCAATAACCACCCAAAGCCCAGAGTTACCTAGAAAAGACAAGAACAAGATAGCATCATAGCACCCCAACCTAATCCCAACTAGGTTGGCACCAAGAGGGGCACCCAATCATGTGCTAGTTCAAGTCTAAAAGTTGTTAGATCTACCAAACAACAGTCACCTAACCTACAAACAACAATCTTAAAATCCAAAAATTAGCCCAGATCTCTGCTTCTATTCTGCTGCCTTGAACAAGATCTAACTTGCTGAAGGTTGAACACCACATCATTAATAGAAAAAGGTACCCCATATGTATTATACTTCAACCATAAAGCAATTTTAACCTTAATCAGCTCTCCAATAGTTGACACTTACTTTTTCTTTACTTCCAAACAGGCTACTAAGTTCCTCAACTAGCAGAGCTTATGCTGCAATTCAACAAGAATGACAAGTTATTCAACTTGAAAGGAATTGCTGTGAGTGAGACAAATTTCAAATTTGCATTGCAAAAGACCCAATTTTTCTTCAATTTGATTTTCACTTGCTCTAATACCATGTCACTTGAAGAGATCAAAAGAATGATCATTTTCTTCTGGGTGGATCTCGATTGAGTCCATGCTTCTTCAAAGTTGTAATATAATTTCTTCTGAGGGTGAATTTCTTATTCCATAGATGATACAAATAATTTCAGGTATGCCTCAATAAGCTTTGGTATGGGTATCACAATTTTGTCACAATAAGCTTTGGTATGTAATTCTTGTTCAAAAAAAAAAAAAAAAAAAAAGCTTTGGTATATGATTTCAGCTTTATTAGAACATTGATTGCAGAAATTGTTCTCTTTTAAAACAATTGTTCTACTTCTCATATATACCAAATTTGTTTTGTTTTTATGTTTCACTCTTTTCTTTGCTTGTTCAAAAAATCAAACCCACTTCTAAAATTTGCATAAATTGAATTATTTAATACCAAGCAATAATATCAAAGAAATAGTACATTGCAGATGCATTTTTAAAGGATAAAACAGACACATGATACAAGAAAACCTCATTTTCAGCAGTCATAAAGTCTAGCCTACAAACAAAACATATATGCCAAATAAGGAATTTGAAATTCTCTTTAGTAGCTAACAAGAAGTTCATGTAACAATGAATTGATGTGTCAATCTTTTAAGGACATAACTCATGCCAAGGTTAATTTTTTGTTTTAAAAAAAAAAATGTTTTATGTAATAGGGCAACTTGGGTCAATCTTTTCAGGACCTAACTCATGCCAACAAAAATAACATATGGTAACAGCATCCCAAGTAAGCTACAGTAGCCACAACATAGTATTGCAAATGCATTTTTCATGCCACGTTAGGAGGTTAGAATCAAACTTATGGGCAACCTACCAGCCCCTTTTCATCAACTGAGCAGCTACTGAAGAAACTTTTGCTTGTACATAGCCCTTGGGTGAACTAGCATGTTGCATAACAAAGCACAAACAAAAACTGCAACAAATGTAGTGATTATAAGTGTAAGCGATATATATATAAATATACATATCAAGGTTGTAGGACACTGAAATAAATATTTAAAATTTACAAAAATATAAAAACAGTGAAGAATTTCTGTGTAACAATTTTGGGAGGTACCACAAGCTAGCAGCCTAGTGGTACCAGGAAGGGGTCTCAAGTAAGGGGAACTTATGAACCCTTGGAAAAATAAATGTAGTGATATCTTTAATAATAACCCACCCCCCAAAACAAAGGAAAAGAAAAATTAAAAATAAAAAAACTAAAAGCTAAAAAAAAGAATTTGATGAGTAATCTAGCATGATATGTTCCACAGTACCAAAGGAAAATTGTCTAACATTCATAAAAAGGATATGCACACCCATGCATTAGTAGCAATAATATGGTACTATGAATGGATTTTATGGAGACTTCCAACTTATAAATTACCTAATCAAGCTTGTCTTCTCATCAGCCGTAAGAAACACCCACTCTCTGATAGCTGCATCTCGAATTGCTGCTGCAGCCTGCATTTGCCACTTGAGAATTCTCTGGATAAAATGAAGAATAGAAAGCACAAGATCCATAAAAAAACAGGACAAGTACAACTCCATATACTGGAACCCAACACTTACACAATGAACACATTAAGCCAAGCAAGCTACTTTCTCCTTCATTATTTTTAAAAACCACAAATTACAAAGAAGCGACCAAGGCTAATTTTCAAACAATGACAACTTTTGCTAATAATCCGAGCTTAAGTACTAAACAAAAGTGAATAAATTATAATAAAATATCTCTTGAATATCATCATTCTCACATTTTTAACTACAAAATTGATTTATCAATTAAATCATTTTTAATGAATAAAATTATTAATTCATTCAAACATAAATATTTTTTGGAAGCTTGATCAAATAATACATCTTAAGTTGGTAGAAAAAAGGAAGGACACAAAAAAAAAAAAAAATCCACCATTAATGACAACACAACAAAAGAAATTTGCTAAAGCAAACAAAGAAAGTTCAATTCAAATGTCCGTTTCATTTCCAAAGCAAATTATTATTACTAACTGAAAGCAACTCATGCTAGAATGTTTCTTTGGCTGCTTTAACAAATCACAATTGCATTAGATGTCCAACACCCACAATCAATACCCAGTGCACAATCGCCACTTCAAACCCCCACTAAGAAGAGAATCAAAGCAAGAGGAAGCTCACCTCACTTGGGACTTTTGTCAAACACGTTGTCTTCAGCAACCAAGCACCATGACATTGCTCTGAGATAGGTTTCGGTGTTGGCAACTATAGCTGATCTTGACCAAGTGTAGTAATATAAGTAAATGATTTTCCCAAATCAAGCAATTCCAACCCACACCACTGTTTCCACCCTCACTCCAATCACCTCCATCCACTATTACCCACATGTGTTCCCACCTTTGCTGCACCATCTACACCCAAACCCCAAATCATTGCCATAGCTTCTAGTATGACTAAATCGTCGTCAACACAAAGATCCAAGAGATCTAGTAGAGCTTGGTACAAGAAAAGAGGATGACGATGACCCTAGTGCATCAAACCCCAATTTGTCGTCGCCACCGCCGCTTTAGAGGAGGAATGGGGCAAGAGAAGAAAACCAACGATGCTGCAAAATGCAGCTCTTCGTGAAGGGATTTTTCACACAACTTGCTTATAGCGCAGGGCTTTGCCTCTAGTTTTTCATCTTGTGTGGAAGGAATGATTAGACAGGAGTGGTTTTAGGGTTTAGAGAGCAATTGAGAAATAAGAGAGATGGAAAATGTCTACAATGATATGACATGATAGGATAAAGGGTGAGAGTAAAGAAGTAATATCATGTTTGAAATATATATATATATATATATATTTTGGTTTTTGGCGTTAAAATTTTTCATTTTGACACCTACTTTTTTCTGGTCGTAATATTCACAATTGTCATTATATGTCGTGTAAAGTGTAATATTTTTAATGGCTAGTTTTTTGTGTATTGTTAAAATATAATATTTTTAACGACTCGTCTATGCGTGTCGTGTATAATTGATGTATTAACAGCATACCATATGCATGCCATAGAAAATTTTATTATTTATGACTAACATTGCAAGTTGTAAAAAAATCATCTTTATTAGCATTCATAACCTACGCAACAGACACACCGTGGTTGGCAAATTATTTACGACATGCAAAAAAAGAAAGCTGTAAAAGTGAGAAATCACGGCTTGCATTTACTGTGTGTCGTTGATGTGAAGCCGTATAAACTCAGTTTTATGGTAGTGTACATATATAATATCCCTCTAAGGCATATATGTATAATTCGAGACATGTAACCATAATTTATTACTCATTCGAAGCACTTTATTGGTGCTATTATATTATTCGAAACACTTTGTTGATGTTATTCGAAGCAATTTGTTACTCAGATTAGTCCTATGCTTAGTTCGGCCATAACAACTCTCACTTTGTCTTAGTCATGCTCACGTGCATTTGCATGATCTTTGTCTTGCTTAAACTTGCATTTTTCGGACCTTGATTTGTTTTGTCTAAGTGTCAGTTGCATGCTTTGTTTCTTGCTTAGTGTGTGTTAAGCCGAGGTCATCTTAAGCCTAGGTCACACCTTCGAACCTCTTACACCTAGGACCATCTTGAAACCACTTTGGTTGACCTCCACCTTCACCCTAGCATATTGGTCGAGATGTTATCATCTAGGCATCCTAGATCTTTGACCCTTGTACCTAGTGATCTTGTTCCTAGACTGGTATAACCCAGACCGAGATGTGGCACAACTGGGCCAAGTGTTATCCTTCCTAGCCGAGATCATTGAGACCTTACTTGCCAAAGTCTATGTCCTAATCCGAGATCATTACCTGCCAGAGTACCCATGTCACCTTACTTGTTGTACACACTTTGTCATGCTCTTGTCTTGTCATTCTGCCACCTTTTTTAGGAAACCCAATCCGGTAGTGCCACGTGTCCCAGCATAGGGTTAAGTTAGCCGGCAGTAGAGAAAACATATCATTTTGTCATGTCCTTGCCTTTGAAGAGAGGAAGAAGAGTTCTTAGAGTGAGAATAGATTTCCAAGCTTGATCTTCACACCTTGAACCGTTAGATCCGTGTTTTGAGGTTAAATTCTTGATCTACTCTTGTTATTCTTTATGTTGATCCGATCACATTGCATGATCTAGCATGATTCATGAGCCATGCATTGATTTAAAGTTGTTTTAGAAAGAGAAAATGATGTTCTTGTGTTCTTGAAATAAAACCATGTTTTGATCCGAAAGTTTGCAACAAGTTCCATCTTTTTGTGTTTGTTTTCATAAGATCTTCAAGCATGGGTACCCAGGTCCATATTTTCGAACTCATCTCATGAAATCTCAGATTTTGAATAAAGAAGTTATGATTTTAGCATTCATGTTCTTCAAAAAGAAACCCAGAATTTCCAGATTCCATTTCCCTGAATGTGGTCATCGGGACCACACCTCGACCAAGAGGTGTGGGACCTCGGCCAAGACCTGGTTGGTACCCAGCATGTTTTTCCGAGATGAGAAACAGTGTTTTAACTCCTAGCGTGTTTTGCTTTGTCTTAACTTAGTTTTGAAAGAAATGCCAAGATCATTTACACTCATGAAAAGCTTGTTTTAAGAATGCATTTCATACCCATCTTTGAGCATCTCTTATTGTCTTCTTGAAGTACATTCAGTGGACTTTGCCATGTATTTGTAGGTCTTGGATTCTTGCCTTAATCCCTACACCCGAAGAGCTATGTGAGTGGTATTTTTAATAAAGCTATGTTATAAAGTTTTGATAAAGCTTTGCTTTGTTTTGGAAAAGTGTTTGTTCAAGTATGAATGATTATCCCTAATTTTGTATCAAGTATTATCTTGTTTTGATGACATTATTGGAAAGTCCTTAGTGCTAGGGGACTATAATGCAACTAGTACCCTTGTTTGAGATATCTCCCTTGCCACCAACGGCCTTGTGCGGGTCGGTTTGTCTAATCGATTCTGGGTCGATTATTCCCTTGTTTTGTCAGGAATGTCATCCCTTGTATTATGTAGATACTAGTGAGCATCCCTTGAAGCTTTGAAAGACTTGATAGATGAACTTGATTCATCCCTTGATTTTGTACAAGCTATGATATGTATTGTTTTGATAAAGATCTCGGATATCATTCATTTAAACATTTATTACTGATATCATTCACTGAGTATTCAAGGTCACCCTCCCCCTTATATATATGTAGGTGACGAGCAAGAAGGCGACGACGCCTAGATGTGTTTTGCAAGATGTTTTGGATTCATGTTTTTTGCTAGCATCTTGAAGATTATGCTTCTTGGCTTTGTATTGCATGTCTTTGTATATGTCGGCTTGAGAAGCCTTTTGATCAAGGTGTAATATTTAGTTTTAATTCATTTGTATTCAAGTTGTAAAATAGTGTTATGTATGTCATTTCATTTGATCTATGCACAGCTCTTATGGACTATTTAGATTCAAATTTATCGCTTCCGCACATGTAGGCCCCATATGTATACTCTGATTGTGTGTGAATTTTTGTAAGTTGGCCTTTGGTAACCTCGGATTACTGGCCATCACAGCACCATTCTACTAGAGGCGGAATGGGGTCGTGACATCGGCCATTCAAAAATTTGAATAAACATCATTTTTAAAGGCTACGGGGGGTAATGTTGGCACCATAAATTTGTAATTTTAATTATTATTTGTTGCAGGACACATGACACTCTACTCACTTGAGGTTATAAAAAGTTACAAAATGATGTGGAAAGATGATGAAAAAGTGGAAGAACATGGAGTATGAAGTGGAGGAGTTAAGAGATCATGGAAAGACACATGGCAAGACAAGAATGAAGATGGAAAAATAGGATAGTTATTGGATAGTTTTTTTCTACCAATGTTTGCCTATAAATAGCTATTCATGGCTACATTATAGTGATTCCGGTTTTGACCCGTTACTTATTGCATTCCAGACTCGGGTTGGTTTGGTTTTGAATAGTTATTCATATCTCTTTCCCTCTTTCCCTTGTCTTCCCCTTTATTTTGATTATCAGGTTGTAGTCGTACGTTTGGGACAGGTTGATTGCTTGTTTTTCTAAACCTTTGTTGTCTAGATTTTGGCTCTTCCGCTCGAGCAGGTTTCACAAATTTTGCTCCTCTGCTTGAGCAGTCATTCTTGTGCTCGAGCGGGATTTGCCACTTCTTAGCATTTCTTTTGCAGTTTTGAAAATACTGGAAAAGTGTTTTGAATGCTCGAGTGTCTAGTCCTACGCTCGAGTGAGGACTTTAGTCTGTAAAATTTCTGGAAATGTGTATTTTACGCTCGAGCGCCAACTTTCACGCTCGAGTGGAACCTTGTGTCTGACACTCTGTAGACCTCCCGAACTCGCTCTGCGCGCCCCCCCTTTCGGAGAGGGCGTGGATTATGTTCTAGCTACTACAGTTCGGACTCCTATCACGGTTCTGAATCTAATCTCACAAAGTGCAATGTAAGACTGACAAATCACCAAAGAGTCCAAATCCGGCAAATCGTTTTAGAAAATCGATTGTAATAAAAAAGCGCCAAACATGGACTGCTTTGCCAGATTATAGAGTCGCCACCTAAATATTTTATTTTGGAAAATTTAGGAAACCCTGACTCGTGCCTAAGGCTACGTGTCCGTCATTACCAAAGTTGCCTCGGCTCGAGAACTTGGGTACGAGAGGGGAAGGCCTTGAAATGAGAACCCGCGCTCGCCCAATCAAAGATCGGCCTCTACTAACATGATATGTTGTTTTTGAAAACACATGTGTTCTTGTCCGGTTATTAGCTAGCTTACTATGTGATGTGCATAACATATACTGTAACACGTCCGCGAGGGACTCCGCTACAGTTCGGACTCGATTTGTGTCACGGTCCTTAATCTGAACCAAAGAGTCCAAATCCGGCAAGTCGTTTTGAGAAAATAGAATTTTAGAAAAAGAAGTGCCAAACATAGACTGCTTTGCCAGATACAGAGTCGCCACCTAAATATTTTTTATGGGGGAATTTAGGAAACCCTGACTCGGTGCCAAAGGCCACGCGTCCGTCATCACCAAGGTTGCCTCGACTCGGGAACTTGGGTACGATTGGAGAAGGTCAGCTATGAGCACCCCCTCTCGCCCGATCCGAAGATCGGCCTCTACTAACCGTGATATCCGCTTTTGAAAACGTTATGTGTTCTTATTCCGGTTATTAGCCTAGAATTACTATATTGTGCGCACAGCAAACAAGTATAGACCAAATCGCCTAAATTGGAACGAAACATTGCATATCCGTTTGTTCGGAAAACAATTTGAAATTTGCTACTCGTAAGTAGGCTAAAAAAAACGGATTTCAATGAGTTGTTCCAACTCAAACAATCCAACCTTCACCCACATGCATTCAAGCGGTAATATCATGTAAACATATAGCCACATGGCAAGCATACTGTCATGTTAACATTCATACTCATGTGAGATGCTAAAGAATAAATACTTACATCGTACTCCGTGCCAAAACAAAGAACTCGTTAGCAATCAATGCATGATCCAAGTCCATGTTTAAATGCCTAATGCAACGCATACGGAATGTCACTAGAGCAGGCTCGGCTAATCTATGAATGACATGTGAAAATGCATAAGTAGCATGTATTCAAGTTAGATTTGAAATACTAATGCTGTTAGCATGATGCGCCGAGCCCGGTGCATGCAATACTGATGAATGATGCACGCATGCATAGCATAAGGTATGCTAAATTAAACATGACCTATTACTAACCATCAAAGCAGGTAAGTAAAAGGGAGAA